CCCCTCTCTTTTCCCCTTGACAAGAGGGGAGGATGTCTTGGCTTAGCTGGCGGGACGGGAGTAGGTTCATGTATGTGTATGTGCAGTGTCCAGAAGTCCTTTCAGCTCCCCCCTCCCCGTTCCCCCTCTTCTCCCCTTCTTTGTTCCCTCTCCTCCCCTTGCACCTGGCCTCTTCCGCCCGGTCCCTCGTGCCTTGCATCCCCTATGTCGTGTAAAACGCACTTATATGCTTCACCTTGCTTCATTAGCATTCACCTCGCACTGCCTGGGTGAGCCTGCACTGCCTGGGTGAGCCTGCACTGCCTGGGTGAGCCTGCACTGCCTGGGTGAGCCTGCACTGCCTGGGTGAGCCTGCACTGCCTGGGTGAGCCTGCACTGCCTGGTTGAGCCTGCACTGCCTGGGTGAGCCTGCACTGCCTGGGTGAGCCTGCACTGCCTGGGTGAGCCTGCACTGCCTGGGTGAGCCTGCACTGCCTGGGTGAGCCTGCACTGCCTGGGTGAGCCTGCACTGCCTGGGTGAGCCTGCACTGCCTGGGTGAGCCTGCACTGCCTGGGTGAGCCTGCACTGCCTGGGTGAGCCTGCACTGCCTGGGTGAGCCTGCACTGCCTGGGTGAGCCTGCACTGCCTGGGTGAGCCTGCACTGCCTGGGTGAGCCTGCACTGCCTGGGTGAGCCTGCACTGCCTGGGTGAGCCTGCACTGCCTGGGTGAGCCTGCACTGCCTGGGTGAGCCTGCACTGCCTGGGTGAGCCTGCACTGCCTGGGTGAGCCTGCACTGCCTGCCCAAGACCCATTCTCTGCCAGCCATCCGTAACACAAGGCCCATCCTCTGCCACCAGTAGCACAATGGCCATCAGCCTCACCACCCAAACCAGCCGAACCACCCAAACCAGCCGAACCACCCAAACCAGCCTAACCACCCTAACTGGCCTAACCAGCCTACCCAGCCCTGCCTAACCAGCCCTGTCTAACCAGCCGTGCCTAACCAGCCCTGCCTAACCAACCCAGCCAAACCAGCCCTGCCTAACCAGCCCTGCCTAACCAGCCCTGCCTAACCAGCCCTGTCTAACCAGCCCTGCCTAACCAGCCCTGCCTAACCAACCCAGCCTAACCAACCCTGCCTAACCAGCCCTGCCTAACCAACCCAGCCTAACCAGCCCTGCCTAACCAGCCCTGCCTAACCAGCCCTGCCTAACCAACCCTGCCTAACCAGCCCTGCCTAATCAGCCCTGCCTAACCAGCCCTGCCTAATCAGCCCTGCCTAACCAGCCCCGCCTAACCAGCCCCGCCTAACCAGCCCTGCCTAACCAGCCCTGCCTAACCAACCCTGCCTAACCAGCCCTGCCTAACCAGCCCTGCCTAACCAACCCTGCCTAACCAGCCCTGCCTAATCAGCCCTGTCTAACCAGCCCTGCCTAACCAGCCCTGCCTAACCAACCCAGCCTAACCAACCCTGCCTAACCAGCCCCGCCTAACCAGCCCTGCCTAACCAGCCCTGCCTAACCAGCCCTGCCTAACCAGCCCTGCCTAACCAGCCCTGCCTAACCAGCCCTGCCTAACCAACCCTGCCTAACCAGCCCTGCCTAATCAGCCCTGTCTAACCAGCCCTGCCTAACCAACCCAGCCTAACCAACCCTGCCTAACCAGCCCCGCCTAACCAGCCCTGCCTAACCAGCCCTGCCTAACCAGCCCTGCCTAACCAGCCCTGCCTAACCAGCCCTGCCTAACCAGCCCTGCCTAACCAACCCTGCCTAACCAGCCCTGCCTAATCAGCCCTGCCTAACCAGCCGTGCCTAACCAGCCCTGCCTAACCAGCCCTGCCCAACCAGCCCCGCCTAACCAGCCCCGCCTAACCAGCCCTGCCTAACCAGCCCTGCCTAACCAGCCCTGCCTAACCAGCCCTGCCTAACCAGCCCTGCCTAACCAGCCCTGCCTAGCCAGCCCCTGCCTAACCAGCCCTGCCTAACCAGCCCTGCCTAACCAGCCCGGCCCAACCAGCCCAGTCTAACCACACACCTGTGCACAACCTGAACAACCATGACAACCCTTATCCATCCTCCACCTCCCATCACCCCTCTCCCCCTCTCAACTGTCCCAAATTCTTCCTCCACATGCGATGCCACTCGGCCTTCCGCTGTGCACCGCCTGCCCTTTGCTGCTTCTCCCTGCCGCTGCTCACCTCACCAGATGCATTCGTGCACAAATTACCACCACCACACCCCTTACCATCACTACCCTACCCTCTCTCCCCTCCTCACCTGCCCCAGAAACCTCCTGTATCCATATTGGGCGCCACACGATTAGCTCTCCCGCAACACATTGCCTGCCCTGTGCCGCTTGCCTAGGCTGCAGGTAGCGACCTGTGTTGCTCGCAACGACACTTCTCGCTGACGCCGCCGTCGCCGCCGCTGTCTCGGCCGCTGCCGCCGCTGGGGAGCCCTGTCCCATCCGCCATTGCAGCTGTTCCTCCGCTTTCGCGGCTCTCCGCCGTCGCGAATCGTTTTGTATCGTCATCTACTGTTGCTTCTTCGCCGTAGACAGTCGGGGTTTCGTCACCGTCCGTCGCTCTCTATCGCAGTCCGTCGCTCTCTATCGCAGTCCGCCGCTCTCTATCGCAGTCCGTCGCTCTCTATCGCAGTCCGTCGCTCTCTATCGCAGTCCGTCGCTCTCTATCGCAGTCCGTCGCTCCCTATCGCAGTCCGTCGCTCTCTAACGCAGTCCGTCGCTCTCTCATTGCAGCCCGTCGCTCTTTATCGCAGTCCGTCGTTCTCTCATCGCCGTACATCGCGCTGGGTCGATGCCTGTCTATCGCTGACGCATTAGGGTTTGCGCTTTGTCAATGTAGTATTGCAAATATCTTACGATATCTCTCAACGAATGTCAGGCTCGCGCCTCCTGTTTGAACACCCGCCATTGCTGCTGCTCCTCGCGCCTCTGACACTGACGGGTGTTGTGTATTCCTGCAACGGGTGTTGTGTATTCCTGCAAAATCTAGCACGCGGCTTTTGCCTGACAAATACTTCCTGACGCAATCTAGGCTAATTCAAAGTACATGAGTCGTTCTGCGACAATCGAGCAAACTTGAAAACCACGTAACTGAACTCTCACCAAGTGTGTAAAACGAGGGTAATAGGCAGTGTCGAGCTAGACGAGGACCTCGGGGTAACGAGGCTCGGATGTTGGCGAAAGTGCGGGGCGGCTCGGAAGTGGTTCGGGGCACAGGTGTAGGCCGAACCAGCCGACGCGAACACCTCGGAGAATACAAGCTAAAGCAAGCCTACAGTAACAAAGTGAAATTCATTATATAAACTCAAAGTTGTGTGTAACATTTTGAGAGGAAAAAACAAAAAAAAAGAACGATATTTCTCTGCAAATTCTACAAGCTCACTTGCCAAGTTCAACCATTGAGGGTAATCCTTCACGCGCTACAACACATACAAACTTATCTAGTGTAGTGGATCTATGTAATGTACAAATACCACTTCTAACATTTTTTAGACGAAGCGGCACACATCCCAAACCCAAACTGTCCGCTTTGGGTGGTTGTTGGTATTGAATGTCCCCTACTCCCCGTGGCTCCGCATTTGACTGTAGCAAGTCTTGGCTGTAGCCTACCTGGTGGACATCTTCTAGTTGCGACAAGAAGAAAAAGAAACGAGAAGAAAAGAAGTTCCTCGCTTTAGCCTGGTTGACAGGACTTCCTGCTGCCCCTACAGGATCTGCATCCTGCATGTCAGAAGTTGTGAGAGTGACATGGTGGTGGTGGGAGTGACATGGTGGTGCAAATGAGACGGTGGTGGGAGCGTGGCGGCAACGGGAGTGAGTATTTTGCACAGCAGTACCAAATGGTGCTGTATAGGTGGTGTCTGAGCATTCTCAAATCCATTATGGCGAGCTCCCGCATGTTGTAGAGTGCAGAGTTCAAGTCTGCTCTCCCCCTCCCTCCCTCTTCCTCCCGTGCACCTGATCCACTGTGCACCTTAAAAAAACATCCCCAGAGGACTCGCCTCGTCCCTTGCGGCCGTTTTCTTCATCTCCAATCATCCGCATCCAATCATCGTTTTCTCCAATCATTCGCATCTACCTCGTCCAGGCTGGTGCAGACGTGCTGTCTGTCCCTCTCTGGTGCGAACGTGTTGTCTGTCCCTCTCTGGTGCGAACGTGCTGTCTGTCCCTCTCTGGTGCGGACGTGCTGTCTGTCCCTCTCTGGTGCGGACGTACTGTATGTCCCTCTCTGGTGCGGACGTGCTGCCTGTCCCTCTATGCCCTCCTCCATCCGCTCTCCATCTGCCCTTCTGTGCCTCCCCACCCCACCACTCACACACCAACCTCCCTAGCGCCTCCTATCCAACCATCGGTCGCTTCTGTTCCCGTCCCCACTGCTCATCCACCGACTGCCTCCCGGTCTGCCCACCCCGTCTGCCCCTGCTGCCACAGCTGTCTCCTCTCTGCCTCCGCCACCACGCTCTTGAGCAGCCTGTGCGCCCAAATCGAGTGTGGGTGATGACGATACACTAGCAGCACTCATGCACCAACCGCTTCCCGCCCTTCCTGTCCTTGCTGCCCTTCCTTTCCCTCCCGCCACAGCTCCCTCCTCCGCTCTGCCTCCGCCAGCTCGCTCTTGGCAGCATGTGCGCCCCATTGTCGTCTAGAGTGGCCACGCCACAGACCCCGCCGCACGTGCAGTTCAATGTCTCATAGGGAGGAACGTGAGGGTAAGGCCGGTGCAGTGCCTAGGGTGAGAGAGAACGACCCTCTCTGGCCCCTTCATCTGCCCTTCCATGCCTCCATCCATCCGGCCCTCTTTGTACCCATCATCCCCATCCATCTGCACCTTCTTCCCAGCACTCGCACACCAACTGCCTCTTGCACCTCCTGCTCCTCCTGCTGCTCCTGCTGCTCCTGCTGCTCCTGCTGCTCCTGCCACAGCTCCCTCTCCCGCTCTGCCTCTGCCAGCACGAGCCACGCACTCACTCCACTGTTGGTGAGGGCAATAAACGCATGGGGAATGGAAAAATCTTGTGTCAGCCTGACATCACCTGCCAGCCTGACATCACCTGCCAGCCTGACATCACCTGCCAGCCTGACATCACCTGCCAGCCTGACACCACCTGCCAGCCTGACATCACCTGCCAGCCTGACATCACCTGCCAGCCTGACATCACCTGTCAGCCTGACATCACCTGCCAGCCTGACATCACCTGCCAGCCTGACATCACCTGCCAGCCTGACATCACCTGCCAGCCTGACATCACCTGCCAGCCTGACATCACCTGTCAGCCTGACATCACCTGCCAGCCTGACATCACCTGCCAGCCTGACATCACCAGTCAGCCTGACATCACCTGTCAGCCTGACATCACCTGTCAGCCTGACATCACCTGCCAGCCTGACATCACCTGCCAGCCTGACATCACCTGCCAGCCTGACATCACCTGTCAGCCTGACATCACCGGTCAGCCTGACATCACCTGTCAGCCTGACATCACCTGTCAGCCTGACATCACCGGTCAGCCTGACTTCACCTGTCAGCCTGACTTCACCTGCCGGCCTGACATCACCTGTCAGCCTGACATCACCTGTCAGCCTGACATCACCTGTCAGCCTGACATCACCTGTCAGCCTGACATCACCTGTCAGCCTGACATCACCTGCTAGCTCCCTGCTCTCACAGGATGGGGGAAAAGGGGAGGGGAAGGACGAAGGAGGGAGGGAAGAGGGGGAGAGTTGATGGGGAGGGGGTGATGGGGTCGGAGGGGGACGGGTAGGGGGGAGGGAGATGTGGCGAGGATGTGGAGAGGATTGACCTAATTCAACCCACCACATGGCACCCTGCTTCCGCACGAGACAATGAGAGGGGATGTGGGGGGCTGGGGTGGTCGGGGAGGGCGAAGCGAAGGGGAGATGGAAAACGGGAACGCTCTGACTTGGAATGGCAATCGTTTTTCAGTCGACTCGGAAATTATGGCCACTCCGCCCTGGACTCATTGAAAGCACCCTGAATTGGAATCGCAGCAGCTCAGCAACAAGCACATTCTGCTCGGGTGTGACCACCTGGTAGGTAGGCGTACCTTGTGGGGGAGGGGGGAGGGCGTGAGGAAGGTGGGAAGTGGGGTTTGTGCGGCAAGCAGCGATCTCAACAGTCCGGTATGACTGAACACCACATGGTGGGCGTACACGGGTGGGAAATACTTTTGAGTCGACTCAAAAGTCATGGTGGGCGTACACGGGTGGGAAATAAGGGCGTAGGGGTTTGGAGGGACTTGGAGGGGAAGACAGACCATGTGCAGCACAACAACCAATATGTTCAGCTCCCATGTGCGTGTGATCACATGGTGGGCATACCTGGTGGTTCGAGGCAAGGCTGTGAAGAACATGAGATTGCCAAGGCAAGTCTCAAGACGCTGCAAGAGTCGTCTCAGGTGAATGTTCCAGCCATTTTTTAGGATTTGCCATGGCAAGGTGCATGGCGCATGGCGCCACGGCTCATCAGTGGATCAAGGCGAGGCAAGGTGCTTGTGAGGATTCTTAAAAGGTGACTAGATTGTTTTCAAAATTCAATCAAAACCAAATCATCAGTGGTGTTTGGGGACTGGTGCTTAGTAGCAAGCGATAATGTAAGTGGTGGGCATACCTTACCTGCTGCATGCCCCACCTGCTGCATGCCCCACCTGCTGCATGCCCCACCTGCTGCATGCCCCACTTGCTGCATGCCCCACCTGCTGCATGCCCCACCTGCTGCATGCCCCACCTGCTGCATGCCCCACCTGCTGCATGCCCCACCTGCTGCATGCCCCACCTGCTGCATGCCCCACCTGCTGCATGCCTCACCTGCTGCATGCCTCACCTGCTGCATGCCTCACCTGCTGCATGCCCCACCACGATGTTGATCTTCACTCTGTGGTTCATGGTGCAATTGATGCGAAATAGAGTGGGAGGTATTCCCAGATGGCATCTGAAGGGCAGGGAAGGCAAGGATGATTAAGGGTGATTATGGGTGTGAAGAGCCTGATACAGCACTAGTGCAAGAGAAGAACTGCTTTAAGAGTGGCGATGTTGGCCTTGCATCTACTGAATAGGGTATAAATGGATTGAAGGGAAAAGGGTAGCGTGGGTGGGTGCGGATAGTGAGGGCAGGGAGACCACTTCTGCCCCCACCCACCTGCACCATGTGTGCCCCACCCACCCACCTGCACCATGTGTGCCCCACCCACCCACCTGCATTTAGCTGCCCAAGCAGCAGCAGCAGGTTGAGCGGCACGATGACAAACCCCAACAGCCTAAAGGACTGACCAGTACGTTTATCCCGGCACCACCTACTCAATCGTACCTGCACAATGCCCACACGTCAAACAGGGCCTGGTGGGGATGGTGGAATGAAAAGAAAGGAGGGAGTGGGTTGGGGAGCGACGTTCCCTGTAAATTCCGAATTTCCATCTCAATAACTCAGCACTGCAGGGAATTCAGCCGCTGCGCAGTCAGCGTCAGGGCATTTAGCCTCTTGTGGATCGACCTTCATCACAGCCGAATCACCTGAGAATGACCTGGGACTAATGTTGAGCAAATTCCTAAACTGCAAAGTTATATGTAAAAAAAGGGTTCGACAGACATTTGCACAGGAGTGGGTCGAGTCGAACCATAGGGTCTCGAGCGGAGGAGAACCAACAGAGGTCTGAATGAGCACCTACGGCAAGAATTTTGCAGATTTTGTTGAGGTTGCCAAACTGTTTCAGTTTGAACCTTGGTGTTGGTTCGGTTTGACAAGTGGACCGGTTAAACTCGAGTACGGTACTTGCTCAACCCTACCTGCAACTGACCTGCAACTGACCTGCAACTGACCTGAGACTGACCTGAGACTGACCTGAGACTGACCTGAGACTGACCTGAGACTGACCTGAGACTGACCTGAGACTGACCTGAGACTGACCAGAGAATGACACGAGACTTACCAGGAGGGGCAGAGGGGGCAGGGGGAAGGGGGAACAGTGGACCACAGTGGAATCGCAGCAGCTAAGGTGTGACCACCTGGTGGGCGTGCCTGGAGTGGAGGAGCAAGGAGAGGAGGGTTGAGTGTGTGTGAGTGAGGACATAGGTGTGAGGGAGGACATGGGTGCGAGCAGTATGGCTCACAGCATGGCTCACAGCATGGGGCACAGCATGGCTCACAGCATGGGGCACAGCATGGCTCACAGTATGGGGCACACCATGGCTCACAGTATGGGGCACAACATGGCTCACAGTATGGGGCACATCATGACCTTACCCCTGCTGCATGCCTCCACGCCAATGTAAGTGGTCAACTGAGTGTGCCTTTTCACCGTGCTGCCTTCTTGCCCTCTCTTCTCTTCACCTCCTCTCTCCTCCCCTTCCCTCTCCTCCCCTCCCTTCACCTCTCCTCCCCACACCTCCCCTCCCTTCTCCACCCCTCCTTGTCTTTCCCTTGCAGCTTCTCTCCTCACGTTCTTCTCCCAGGCCTTCACCTACCCACTCATTCGCAATCAACCTGCCCCTCCACTCTCTCCTCCACTCCCTGCTCCTCCTCAGTCGCCTCTCCCCTGCCCTCCATCCCACACTCCTCGAACCCGACCCTACCCTCTCCTCCTCTCCTCCACAGGCCTCTACTCTCCCCAACGCTGTGTCAGCACACCCCACTTCACGCCTCTCATGCTCTCCACCACCCCATGCACCACACACCCTTCTTCCTCCCTTTCTGCCTCCTCCTCCTCTTCCCCCCCCCCCCCTCCCTCTCCCCGCCACAAACTCCCGTCCCCACCCTCGCCCTTAACCCCAACTCCTCCTCCTCCCCCCACCTTCGACTTCTCCCCAGCACCCCTCTTCCCCGCAACCCACTCCTCCACAACCCCCTCTCCCTCTCCCTCGTCTATTTTCTCACCTCCCCATCCCCCACCCTCCCCTCCCCCCGTGCCTGTCTTGCCAGCACCATCAGTCGTTTCAAACGGCACACTCGCTTCTGCCCCGCCTCACACCCATGCTCCCTGATGTTGCTGGCTTCACCTGCACCCGGCCCCCTCTCGTCCTCTTCTACAATTCTTCCAGCTCCGCCACTCGCGGCCCCCTTTTGCACCCTTCCTTGATCCTGGCGCTCTTGCTCCTGGCGCTCTTGATCCTGGCGCTCTTGCTCCTGGCGCTCTTGATCCTGGCGCTCTTGCTCCTGGCGCTCTTGATCTTGGCGCTCTTGCTCCTGGCGCTCTTGATCCTGGCGCTCTTGCTCCTGGCGCTCTTGATCCTGGCGCTCTTGCTCCTGGCGCTCGCTCTTGCTCCTGACGCTCTTGATCCTGGCGCTCTTGCTCCTGGCGCTCTTGATCCTGGCGCTCTTGCTCCTGGCGCTCTTAATCATGGCGCTCTTGCTCCTGGCGCTCTTGATCCTGGCGTTCTTGCTCCTGGCGCTCTTGATCTTGGCGCTCTTGCTCCTGGCTCTCTTGATCCTGGCGCTCTTGCTCCTGGCGCTTTTGATCCTGGCGCTCTTGATCCTGGCGCTCTTGATCCTGGCGGTCTTGATCCTGGCGCTCTTGCTCCTGGCGCTATTGATCCTGGCGCTCTTGCTCCTGGCGCTCTTGATCTTGGCGCTCTTGCTCGTGGCGCTCTTGATCCTGGCGCTCTTGCTCCTGGCGCTCTTGATCCTGGCGCTCTTGCTCCTGGCGCTCTTGATCCTGGCGCTCTTGCTCCTGGCGCTCTTGATCCTGGCGCTCTTGATCCTGGCGCTCTTGATCCTGGCGCTCTTGCTCCTGGCGCTCTTGCTCCTGGCGCTCTTGATCCTGGCGCTCTTGCTCCTGGCGCTCTTAATCCTGGCGCTCTTGCTCCTGGCGCTCTTGATCCTGGCGCTCTTGCTCCTGGCGCTCTTGATCCTGGCGCTCTTGCTCCTGGCGCTCTTGCTCCTGGCACTCTTGATCCTGGCGCTCTTGCTCCTGGCGCTCTTGCTCCTGGCGCTCTTCATCCTGGCGCTCTTCATCCTGGCGCTCTTGATCCTGGCGCTCTTGATCCTGGCGCTCTTCATCCTGGCGCTCTTGCTCCTGGCGCGCCATCTCTCCCTTTCCCTCTATCCCGCCCTTCCCAACCCCTCTGTGTCTACATTCTCCCCTCTTCTGCCCTTCAACTCCCGCCCCTGCTTTCCCTGCCACGCCTTCTCTCGTCCCTCGCCTCGTTTCCGCCAGACCCAATCCACGCGCGCCCGCATTCTCACTCCTACCCTCCCCTCCCTGCGCCTCCTCTCCCCGCTCCGCCTCCCCTTCCCCTTCTGCGCGGCCGCCCGTGGCTGCTGCCTCCATCTGCGCATACCAATTTCCGCGAATTCTCGCGGAGGCGGCGGTACAGGAGCGCGCAGCGGGGATTGCGGCGGTAGCGGTGGCGGTGGCGGTGAAGAAGTGATCCAGGCGGAGCGCGACTGGCGCGGGCTTCCACCGCCTCTTCGCGCCGCCGCCGCCACTCCGGCCTATGCTGCTCGAAGCGACGCTGCTGCTTCCAACGCTGAAACCGCCGCTGTCCGTCACCGCCGCTGTCTTGGCTGCTTCCGCCGCCGGGAGTCCCCCATGCGCGCACGTGCTTGCCCCACCCCCCCATTGTCGCTTATCCTTCGCGCATCTGCTGCCGCGGCTCTCCGCCGTCGCGAAACGATTTTGTCGCTTTATCGTCATCTACTGCCTTTTTCCCGCTGCCGACGGTCACTCTCATTCTGTCGCCCTCTCATCATCGTACGTCACGCTCTGTCGTTGCCTGACTGTCACTCTGACGCAGTAGCGTTTGCGCATGACCTGATGCTTGTCCTTTGACTGCCAATTCGCCACTGTATTAGGGTGCATTCCTAGCTCGTGTCAGACACGAAGTGGGAGGTTCGGAAGACACAAAGTGAGCCACTTCGGGTCTTCCGAGCCTTGATTTGCCTGAGTTTCTAGTCACTTCGGGTCGTCCAAGCTTTCACTTCGTGTCTGACCTGATGTCTGACACGAGCCAAGAATGCACCCTTATTACGTCTCCCAACGCCTCCTGTTTGCCCACCCGCCATTGCTGCTGCTCCTCGCGCCTTTACTGTCGCGGCTCTACGCCATCGCGAATTAACTCTTCTCGCTCTCGTCGCCCTGTCTGTCGCTTCGATACGACTGTTATCGAGTCACCATTCCACGCCCCACTGTTGCCCTCACAACTCTCACTTCCTGGTACTGAATGCAAGTCCCGTGTATGCTTATGGAATCTAGCCATCAGCCAATATTTGTCTGGTGGTGGCGTGATGCGAATTCGAAATATGTGATTTGATAACGACAAACTGCACATTTTTCACAAACTAGAAAGCCACAATTTGATGCCTAAGAATGTCCAGAATGAGATAAAGTAGGTGGAGTCGAGCTAGGCGAGAACCGCAGTGAGATGAGGTTCGGAAGAGTGGCAAAAGGTGTGGTTTTTTTGTTTTGTTTTGTTTTTTTTTTTGGAGGTGAAAATGCACTGTATAATGAGATTATACAATGCGAAACACCACGGTCGTAACCGATTAGGGAGGGGTTAGGTCAATGTACTGGCCCTCGTAGGGCCTGGGTACACTGTACCGTACCCTCGCAACCTATTATGGGGGTTTAAACACTAGGCGCCTGAAAAACTCACCTTGCCCGATTGGGCTTGGTGTACCACTGGTTGGCTTGAGCTGTTGCACGCTCTCTTCAGTTGCACTTCTCTGACTCTGGGAGAGGATGGTTGAAGCATCTGCTGCCTCTGTTCCAGAATCTTCTTCTCTTGAGAGAAATGTAACTTCAATTTCATGGCGCCTGCTTGCAGAAAGGTAGTCGACTTTATCCTCAAATTGAAGGTAGACTTCTTGAAACGTAGGGAACTTTCCATCGTCGTCATCCTTCTCCAGCAATGAAAAGCTCGTAGTCTTCAGATTCATGAGCTATGTTAGAATGAAGCGTGACTTCTGGACATGTAGGCGACTTAAATCATGTTTTCTTCAAATCGGTTTCTGATTCGCGTGGTTGCGGTTTCACGTCTCTTGCAACTAGTTGACTTGTTGGTGAAACTCCTTCGTTTGCCTTTATGTCGTCCAGGTAGAAACCATTTTGTGACCTGAAGCTTTCTCCACAAGCCTTGCGAAGCTGCTCATGCTGTAGATGCCGTTGAACTGCAGAGAAGGAAGATAACCTCGAAATATTTTGCCCATTAATTATCAAACTATATCTGTGCTAGTTCTGTGTAGGCTATAGTGGGGTAGCCCATATGGGGTACAACCCAAAGTTAGGGTTAGTACTTGTACCCACATTTCATTCAATGCACTCATTCCTGCTTGTTATCTTGACATGGTTTCAAAGTAGTAGGTCCGTAGGAGATTTTTTTTTTTTTTTTCGGGCCCACCATACTTAGGAACCGCCTGCGGTTACCATGTAACCCCACTACCCTGCCCCGCGTCACGCTGCCCCGCGCACGCCCGGCCCTGCCCTGCGTCGCGCTGCCCCGCGCACGCCCTGCCCTGCCCCGCGTCGCGCTGCCCCGCGCACGCCCTGCCCTGCCCCGCGTCGCGCTGCCCCGCGCACGCCCTGCCCTGCCCTGCGTCGCGCTGCCCCGCGCACGCCCTGCCCTGCCTCGCGTCGCGTTGCCCCGCACACGCCCTGCCCTGCCCCGCGTCGCGCTGCCCCGTGCATGCCCTGCCCTGCGCGTTGCGCCCTAAGGCAGCCCGTCAAGTTGCGCTCTGCTACCCCGCGCGTCGCGCTCTGCTGCCCCGCGCGTCGCGCCCTGCTGCAGCCCGCGCGTCGCGCCCTACGATAGCCCGCGCGTCGCGCTCTGCTGCCCCGCGCGTCGCGCTCTGCTGCAGCCCCCACGCGTCGCGCTGTGCTGCCCCGCGCGTCGCGCTGTGCTGCCCCGCGCGTCGCGCTCTGCTGCAGCCCGCGCGTCGCGCCCTACTGCCCCGCGCGTCGCGCCCTACTGCAGCCCGCGCGTCGCGCCCTGCTGCCCTGCACGAAGCGCGCACCCTGTTGCCCGCGCCGCCCAGGCCAAGTCGCGACGCCCAGCCCGAGCCACCCTGCCCTACCCAATCCGCCCTGCTGCTCGTGCTACTGCTGCTGCTGGTGGAGGTGCTGCTAGGAGTGCTGGAGGTGCTGCAGCCTAGCCTCACCGAGCCGCTCTGCTGCTCTTACTGCTGCCACTGCTACTCGTGCTACTGCCTTCACTCCGTACTGCCCTGTGTTGTAGAGGCGTGTCCTCTGGTTGGCAGGAACTTGGAGTTATGCTAACCACTAGAGCTCTGTCTTAGCTTTCCAACGAGCCGTCAAACGCTCCGTTCGACTAAGAAACGAGCGAGCTATAGCTGGAAACGTGAAGACTATGCTCTAGGAATAGAGATTGGAAGCTCTCTGGATTTTCTGGTTCGAATGTACCTTGTACAATGAACTCTGGTTTTCACTATGATGCATGCAATACAAAGCAACACAATTTTATATGAACTGCAAACATCGAGTCGCACATGTAACCTCGAACCGCGGTACACTCGCGAATGTTCGAGTAACATTTCGAAGGGGTGAAATTCGGCACCCGAATTTCACCGAACCGAATTCTACTTCAGTCTCGATTGTTCTTGTGTTGCCACATGTCACCAATTGAGTGGGTCTTCCGAAGTCAACCCACTCATTTCGCGAAACCTGCAGCTTCACGAAACTCATGAGCACCGAAACACATTCGGTGGGTTGGGGGCATACAACCACCCCACCACCACCTTGCTTCAATCGCATGTCAGAATGAACGGACAGGAATGACTGTACTAACAGAAGGATGGATACAAATAGGAAACCCTAATCCAGTGTACCCCCTAAGGCATCACCCACTACTGCCTACAATCATATAAACATATAATGTTTGACACACCCCCATAGGCAAAGTGGGGGAGACCTAGGGGTCACAAGACCAGTCAAGGCAAAGCAAGGCAACAACAAGCTCAGGGTGGATCTCGAGGATTCCACACAAATTCCGAGCACAAGCTAGTGGTCACAAGACCAGTTCACATGCAGGTTTATAACAGAGCAAGAGATACAGTGATCACAACCTAGCAAGAGTAAACATGCAGGTATAGATATATATAGTGATCACAGTACAAGCAAAGTCAAGAGGTAAGCAAGTGAGGTCCAGTAGGCACAAGGCCTAGTAGAGTGCAGAAGCGCTGATGGTCACGAGGCTGAAGCGCCTTAGTGAACACATCAGCAGTGTTGGCCTCAGTGGCCACGTAGCGAATACAAAGCTGACCGCGCTGCTGCAGCTCACGAGCAAGGAAGTACCGCAGGGCGATGTGCTTCGTTCTGTGCTCCAGTCTGTGCTCCTCACACAAGGCAATGGCAGCCTTGTTGTCGACGTACAGTACTGGAGGAGAACGAGGCGGCTCTCCGAGGTCGGTCAGCAGGTAGGTCAGCCAGCGTAGCTCCTGGGCAGCCATGGCTGTAGCGTAGATCTCAGCCTCGCAACTGGAGCCGAGAACAGAAGAAGAGCGTGTAGAGCGCCAAGAAACTGAGCCAGAGCCAAGGCTGAAGGTGTAACCCTGAGACGACCGCTGAGTGGCCTGGTCGTCTGCCCAAGAAGCGTCTGAGTGCCCTGTGAGAACAACTCGGTCTCGCCCTCCAAGCACAAGCCCCATGCCCGACGTACTGCACAAGTAGCGCAACACCCTCTTAGCGGCATCCATGTGCTCCTTCCTGTGACGGCCAGGAGCGACATAGCATGCAAGGATGCTAAGAGGGTATGCAAGGTCAGGTCGAGTGCAGGTCATCAGGTACATGAGGCAGCCCACAAGCTCTGGATACGGGCCACTCGGCTCTACGGACTCATCCGAAGGCAGAGCTGAGAGCGAGTGACCGGTAGGCAGAGGAGTGGACTGAGGCGAGGAGTACGTGAAGCGGAAGCGCTGGAGAACCTGCTGCACCATGTGTGACTGAGTCAGGGTGATGGTGCGCCGTGCTCTGTCCCGGGTGATCCGCAAGCCAAGATAGCTTGTCAGCTCACCCAGGTCTGTGCACGTGTGTCTCCTCTGCAGCTCCGACTTCACGTAGGCGAGTCCTGCAGTGTCAGCAGTGGCAAAGACCAAGTCGTCGACGTACACGAGGATGTAGAACGGCGGCAGCGAAGTGTCGGTGCGCAGGAACAGCGACGGGTCAGCTGTAGAAGGCGCGAACCCAAGAGCCGCAAGTGTAGTCCTCAGTGTGTCGTGCCACTCATGCGGAGCCTGGCGGAGACCGTAGACCGGCCGCTGAAGCCTCCACTGGGTACCAGGAGGAAACGACCCAGTGAAGCCAGGTGGGCGGCGCAGCCAGATCTCCTCGTGCAGGCTGCCCTGCAAGAAAGCAGTGCTGAAGTCAAGTGAGTGAAGCTCGTAGTCGCGGT